ATAAATGTGTTGATCGTAGCGGCCAGCAGAGCCCAGCAGAACTGCTGTGTCACAGGTTCAAATCCAGCTGAGGTCTGTTCCTCCGTGTCGCTCCCCTCAGCTGGCTGCTGCCTCTTCACGCTGTTAATTAAAGGAAACATTGCTGACAAACATCTTCATGGAAATTTAAGAAAACAATAAAAGGACCTTTACCACACAGGGTGAACAATTAAAATTCAGCAAAGAAAACATCTTTTTGCATCCAGTGTAGTGTTCCTTCACTCCTGTGTGCTGTCCTGAATCAGATTCACGCCGCTGTCTAACTTTCTTGTAGCCGAGTGGAGATGAATAAATGCAGCGTTTGCTGGCGCGGTGTGGGTGTAATTGTATATTGTCAGCCATCACGACATACAACACAGAGATTAGGAATGTAGTGAGCAGTAGGCTGCTCCGACTCAGCGCTTTGGAGCTGTCCATCTGTCAGATAGAGCTGCACACACACATATAGCAGCACACCATACATACAGCAGCCTGCTCATGTGCCACCTGGCAAAAGAGCTGAATATCACCAGCTTTAAGCATCAGCCTGTGGACAGAGGAGCTTTAACAGTTTTCATGTCTCATTGCAAAACACATTTTTAGCCACCGTGCTAGTTGGTCACACTCCATGTCTGGTAGGAGGCTGGTTTGGTCTGGAGCTGCACGATATTGGGGGGAAAAAAAGATATTGTGATATTTAGTTTTTCTGCGATGTATGTTGTGATGTGACAAAATACAGGAAGCTTCACCAGGTGACCTCCGTTATTCTATTTGGAAAGAATTATTCATTGTGAAACCATTGGGGTGCATCTGCCTCAAAAACAACAGTTATTTCCAAATGAACAGCCGTTTGAAACCTTTCTTATGTCATGTAACCTTAACTAAACCATCCACGATAGGTTTTTACTTTGGATTCCATTCAGATCTGGCTTCATCATACTGAGCTCAGTGGTGCTGATTTAAACTGCCAAACAAATTAATTGTGTTGCTTTGTGTAGTGGCAACAGTTCTGATGATCTGTTTTTGGTCAACTTTGTCCTTTCTGTAGGCGTTTTAATGCTACCAATGTAGAATCAGAATCAGCTTCAGTGGCCATGTATGTACACAACATACAAGGAATTTGGATTTGACTGTTGGTGTCGCCCTAGGAATGAGCAAGGAGAATAATACAATAGGAAAATATAAAATAAAGTAAAATAGCTGTAGAAAGAAAAAATAAATAATGAAAATAAAACAACATATATATACATGAATTTACACATCTGAGCAGATGTTTCTTTTTGCAACCAACTCTTCCTTCTCAGTGCTTCTCTCCTCTTCTTGCTCATTTTGCTGTGTACATGTGGACTCTGCATGTCAACATGTCATGTGATTAAAGTGAAAGAAAAAACAACTTGGTTCATCCAAGAATCCTTAAATTGGAGCAAATTATTTTCTATCAGACTTCTCCTGCAGATTAGTCGTGAAGAATTAGAACCGTTTGAGTTTCTTTTTGTATCAGATTCAGATTCAGATTCAGATTTGTTTATTGTCATTGTAACAAGTACAACGAAACGAAGGTGCAGTCCTTTCAGTGCAAAAATATAAGAACTTGGAACAATAAAAACTTTGTAAACACTATATACAATAAACAAGCAAAAAGAAATGAACTCTATATACAGGATGAAATTAAATTAAATAATAAGCACGGTGTATTATTGCACAGAGTGGATGTTGGGCAGAGGTAGTGGAGTTGTGTATTTCACATTATTTTGACTGGGAGGCGAGCAAAAAACGTTGCACTTCAAAAAAAGTGCACATCACCATATTACTGCTGTAACGGTACACTGTACAGCCCTAGTTCGGACTGGTCTGGGTTAGGTAACTGAGCCTTACAGATATCTTTGTTTGTTTATTCCACCATCTGTGTCCACAAAGAAACATCTCACTCGCTATTGGATGAATTGTTGTGAAAGACTAGTCGATCTGGTCATATTATGAAATCTACTGATTTCAGGGTTCTGAAGCTCCACCAGTAGACTAAAATCCTCACCTCCCTCTGAGCTACAGCAACCTCCCAGACAGATCTATAACAACAAAATTTCTTAAAGATATTCATAAAAATGACAGAATCCGACTCCTTGTCTATTGTAGCTCTCGGAAGGATTTTGTGTTTCTGCACTACCAGGTCTGTGACAGCCAGTTACCCCTGGCTGCACCACATGTCAGTCAGAGCGGGAAACACTGGGGCTCGACGCCTCCCCTCGACTCCGGTGAAACCTCTGGAAGCTCAGGATGTGCGGCCAAAGAGGAGCCTCCTCATGAGGCAGGGTGACCACGACGCCTATATCCGCTGAGTCATGACTGACTCACAGGAGCTGCTACAGATCTGCTGTGGGTGACGTGGAGGGGAGAAGCGGGAGGAACGGCCATACAGTCTTTTTAACCCACAGTGCAATTATGCAAATGGAATCATTGGACTGCCTCTTGCAGTTTAGTTCCAAGACGGCAGGTTATTGATCGGGGGAGGGAAGAGAGAAAGAGCTGAAATGAGGATAAGAGGGAGAAGATATAAAGAGGGAGAAAAAAAAAGTTGGGTTCAAGTGGGGTGGCAGGATTTGCAGGGATTTATCCTCAACATCTTCACAACTCGAGAAGGAAATCAGTCGTTTCTCGTTAAGTCTGATTCGAACGGCATGGTTTTTAATAATGGTAAAGGAGACGCGTTTCTAAAGTGTTTTGTTATGCATAGAGGGGAAATATAATTTGAGTTGTATATGAAGTGCTGCACTGAAGCATTCGACAGTTTCTCACTGTGACAGTAAGAGTGTCAGCATGTGACACTGAGCACGTGCAAATCAACGCATGAAAAATTTGTACAAAAAAAAAAAAAGAGAGAATTTCAAATGAATAACCTGTTTTTGTTGCTGAACCAAACGGCTCTGACTCATATAAAGTGTGACAAAAACTGTGGTTTGTTGTGGCAGCTTCCCCTGCTAGCACAAACACTGCCCCCTGGTGGTTGGAAGAGCACATGGTTCAGATTCACACAGTATCATGTCAGGTGTGTGCCGAGGGCCTAAAAGAGATGTTAAAAGGGTGTGCAAATAGATGTATTTATTTGTTTTGCATTTAGATATATTTTATGAGTATTTAAATCGACATGAATGCCTTAAAATGTGTCTAAACTCATTGCAACACCCTCTAACGTCTGACAAACAACTCAAAATCCCCTAAAATGATATTGTTTGCATTCACATAAGAAAAAGAGCAATAAATGATTTGCTTTTTAGAACGTGTAATTGCTTGACAAATTACTTAAATGAGCATCTGCCCGTTTAATTTTCCATTGAACTAATCAGTTAATTGAATGACTTGCAGAGCGACATCAGCACCTCATCACATCACGATCCAATCACGACTACTAATTTTATTTATGGCACTTCTTCCATTAGAACTCTACGACTAATCGTGATATCAGATCTAACTAATCTGAGATCAGCTCATGTGAAAGCATAGTGGTTCACTGGAACCATTTTTAAAGCCATTTCAAATCTCTTCTTCATCTCTTTCCAGAAAGGTCATTTTGATAAAAGTCATATTCTGTCTGTAGGTTTATAGACTTTTTTTTCTCATTGCAGGCATTTTGACTTGTTGTAGAAGAAAAAGCACAGGTGGAAATGATGTTATTAACAGTGGCTCAGTTCCATCTGGTGTCTCAGTAAGTCCTGCTCACAGACTTAGCATGAACAACACCGGGACTATGGAACTGGCTGCCCTCCATGAAATACGCTCATTAAAATTATTAATTTCCCGTGTGCTTTTCCTGCTATGACAAGCCAAAGCGTCTGTTGTGAAAAAGGTCTCCTGTGAATATGCTGTGCTGACTGAAGGCTGAAGACTGATAAACTGGCAGCTCTCTTTATAAACTCTGGCCGGTTTTGTGTTGATCATCCGTCTCTGTTGCATCAAGCTCTGACGCTCTGTTTTCACCACACATTTGTTTTTCTGTTCATTCTGCCCATGCTCTGCAGCTGCTGGATGCCAGGAGAACCAAGGTTTGTCCCTATGTTTGCACCACGAGTTGCGTGCACAACATAGAGTCACCTTCAGTGTGGCGTGTATTTTCAGACACCTGGCAATCCTTTATGCACCGTACAACGTCTCCTCCTATGAATCCTGTAGCCTCCAAGAGAAAGTGGAAGATTCTCCGCAGTTCAGCCTTTCCCCCCTTTTTGTCCCATGATATGTCTCCCCATAGACACTGTAAACCCAGAAAGTGATTTGTTTGTTTAATTACATCAGTGCGAACATGTCTGGTGCTCCATCCCTCTGTAGTAAACCCTACAACCCCAGAATGCCTGTAAAGTTGGTTTGATTTCAATGAAAGAAGCTGTTTCCACTCCTTCAACTCCTGATCGGGCCATTTTCTGGACGTAGATCGATCTGGAGGAGAAGCTCAACAGACAAACCAAGGCTGAGTCCGTCTATGACAGAAATTGGCCCTTTGTTTCCCTAAACCCAGAACAAGCCTTCCTATAGACTACGAAATACGTTATAGTGTGTGGTTTCATTTTACTGTGGATAGACACCTTTATTCAACGTGTTTTGTCCCGACAGTGTTTGAATACTGTAGCTTCTGTGTATTCATTTCCTATTCTGAGCCGTCCACCCACGATGGACGTAATCAAAGGCGTAGTCTCTTCTTACATTATACTCACTAATCCTGCAGACACCTTCTCCCTAAACACTCGTCTGAACCACAGTATTTGTCTCCAGGACTCCCCTTCGTGGGTGTTTAAGATTTCTGGTGCTGCAGGACACCATCAGGAAGCTCTTCATGTATAAAATAAAAGAGCATCCTTTCACAGCAGTTAATCTGTTTGGCAGCTTTGATTTACCTCAAGCCTCAATATATGTTTTCTAAAAGCAGTAAAATTCAGACTTTCTACAAATAAGCCTACAATCAGCTGTTGACAGTCGATTTTTTAGCCCAAGGTAAGTCACGTGTTTCCTGTGTTTGATCCGCTGTACCATTAACTACTTCAGCAGTGTGTTGTAGTGTGTGTTTACCCCCCTGTTTAGTGTTATCATGAGAAAAGGTTGCATTGTGCGTTCTTCCGAAAATGAATTTCAATCATTTTTGAGTCTCTCTGTGTGTGTATACGTGTTATGTGTGTGTGTGTGTGTGTGCTCATCAGCATCTCCAGATGACCATCCAGGCTCTGCAAGATGAGCTGCGCACACAGCGAGACCTCAACCATCTGCTGCAGCAGGAGAGCGGCAACCGCTCCGGCAACGAGCATTTCACCACCATCGAGCTGACGGAGGAGAACTTCCGGCGGCTGCAGGCCGAACATGACAGACAGGCCAAAGAGCTCTTCTTGCTGAGGAAGACCCTGGAGGAGATGGAGCTGAGGATCGAGACCCAGAAGCAAACGCTGGGAGCTAGAGACGAGTCAATTAAGAAGCTGCTGGAGATGCTGCAGAGCAAAGGGCTGCCCCCCGGGCCGGGCAGGGCGTCTGAGGAGGAAGAGCAGGAGAGAGCCAGACGCATTGCTGAGGCAGAGGCCCAGCTCGGACACCTGGAGGTCATTCTGGACCAGAAGGAGAAGGAGAACATCCATCTGCGAGAGGTATTCTATGAGCAGAATTATGTTAAGAGTTCAAACTGAGTGTTTCTTAGTTTGTTGTCACTAGATGGCAGTGCTGAACATCACAAAATCAATATGCTCCTCTCTGCTGCTTAAATCGCATCATATTGATTATGCAACGTGTAAACTGAAAACTGCATCAGTTGCATGAAACATTCTGCAGATACACTTTCTATGCATTGTGCGGTGCATTTTTTTTTCTCCCTTAAGTCTAATTTTAGCCAAATAATCCCACTTTCAGCAGAAATTACCATTGACTCTGCTGCTCCAGTGCGACATAACACTGTGTCTTGTTTTTTTAAGGAACTGCACAGAAGAAATCAGCTGCATCAGGATCCGAGCAAAACCAAGGCTCTGCAGACCATTATAGAGATGAAAGTAAGAAGTCCACTCACATGCAGCCGCATACAGCAGCCCAGTCCAATAGGGCATGTCCAAATAATCATTCTTCATCGTCTGCGTCTCCAACCAGATGTTGTTTGCACACATCCGACGGGCTGATATTCACAGGCCTTGTATCATGTTAACCGCTGCACGTCTAAACCGAGGCCTTCGTGTTCTCGCGGATCTATTGTTGTCATTGGCAGCTGAGTCAATCATCAACACGCTGTCACATCTCTCTATCTGCCTCTCGCACACAGACACACTGTATCGCCTCACAAAGCAGTTGTGTAAACATAAACAAGAATCAATATTACTGTTCAACACGGTGGCTCACTGAAGAGGCAGCCTGCTGTGCCAAACTGGAGCACTCTGGTTTCATGACTTATTTTTCTCAATAATTAGCTCTTTAATGTTGCACACTGTCTGCGCACAGACGCTGTTGTTCCAGTCTCGTTCTGTACAGGCGAGGTTTGTGTAGAGCTGTAGAGCTTTGTTTTGAGTTTTACTGAATATTCCGATCTAAATCATCTGATGATGGCTGCAGTTTTTCAGTTGCTGTTTGCCTTTAAATGGCATTTTGGGTTTGAGTAATTTGCACAGAACATACATGTGTAATCACCTCAGTAAAGCGGCGGATTATATCGTGTTTAATGTAAATTTGAAGCTTCAGAGGTAATTTAAGTGTATTTAAATACTGGCACAAACATACATATTTCATGAGATGATGTTTAAGATGGGCTGTGATTGCAGTTTCCAGAGACCGCACCCATCGCCTTCAAGAGTCATTTCAAATCACATTTTACATGCATCCATGTTCCATTCCCTACTACAGATTTTTAAAATCCTTATCTCGCCTTTCAAGCGTAAAAATGTCTCCACACTTGTTGTGCGAGCGCTGGATGTGGCTCCAGAGATATCAGGGCCATCCAGCTACCGAACCGCTGTAGACACCACCAGCCTCACTGCAGAGGCCTGACATCACTTCCTCAAAATAAATCATGACATCATCGCTGAGCTGACACAGCCCCTCTCTCTCTCTCTCTCGGCTGGATCGGCGCTGTGCAGGCCCCAGCCTCTCTCGGCTCGGTCATGTGACATCTGGGCTCTGGGATCCTGTTGATTTTCATACGGAGCGAGGGAAGTCCCGCCTCCTCCTCCTCCTGTGCTGTGCAGGAAGACCCTGCGTCTCCCCTCCCCTCCTCTCCTCTCTCCTCTCCTCTCTCCCTCTGCTGTGTTGATGCTGATGGAAGCACGAATAATCCTTCCTCCCTCTCTCCCCTACATCCCTCCCGCCCTCTCCTCCTCACTCACCAGAGACAGTGCACAGTATATAGCCTGCCTGCTGCTACCATGGAAACAGGTGTGGTTGTTTATGACAGTGAGAGGCCAGTATGCAGGGAGATAGAGGGAAAGAGAGACATGCAGAGGCAGGGAAAGAGAGATAAAGAGCAAGATTTACAGACCAGGTCGATGTACCAGTGATTACATGTGGATGGAATAAAATCACTCCTCTTTGAAGGTACGGTGTCTCGTGTCTATTGCAGCGATGTTAGTTCGTTGATGTTCGTCTCGTAACACAGAGACCGAGGTGAGATGCAGCAGAAGGGCGAAGTGCATGTACATGTGCAGCGCAGTTAACCCCTCAGATCCTTCTCCGCTAGTCCATCATTCCTCATTACGATACATTACCCATGTTCCTCTGCATCGGGCTCCGACTGACCCTGCTAATGGCCACAAGTTCACAAGTTCAGAGCCACTAGGAGGAAAGGAGGAGAGACACAAAAAGAGAGAAAGACAGGAAGGAACAAGGTTGCTCTATGCTCTGCTGGAGAGGGAGATGGACCATGGCTAATCTTAAAGACGTTGTATTATTTATTTAAAAAGCCGTGAAGCTAAAGCTGCACTCACAGTCGCAGTCCAGAGACTGGATTCTGCATTGATCTGCAAGCAACTACGGCAAAAGCTACGGCTTGTTACTTTCTCTTCCTTTCTCTCTGCCCATTTCTCTCCGGTCCTGGCTGATCTCTGCGAGCTGGATGTGTGCTCAATATTTCCCAATGGTGATTAATCCTCTGAGCCGCTGCAAAGAGCTGGGTAGAAAGCTTCTGATTTCACCGACAGATACTGCAGTTGCTCTGAGCTCGACCAAAGAGCTTCTTCCATTCTCTCTTTATCTCCCTGCATCGCTCCTGTTCTTCTTCTTTCTCTCTCTCTCTCTCTCTCTGCCTGAATATCTCTCTGGATCTATTTTGTTCTCTGTTAGTCTTCATGTCTCTCCTGGACTCTTGTCTTTAGTTTATTTGCATCATGCAACTTGTGGACATGCCAGGCTGGGTTTTGAGGTGTGTCTCCTCCGCATGTTTGTGTGCAGGACACCAAAATTGCCTCTCTGGAGCGCAACATTCGAGATCTGGAGGATGAGATCCAAATGCTGAAGGCAAACGGCTTACTGAACACAGAGGACAGAGAGGAGGAGATCAAACAGATGGAGGTCTACAAGAACCACTCTAAGTTTATGAAGACTAAGGTAGAGACCGCTTGCACCGTGCATGCAGATGTCGAAACACTGATGATGTAAAACTATGGCACACGCTGTTCAGGATGCAGACAGACCTTAAATTAGCTGCTTTAGCGTTTGTTGTCAACTGAACTGACCTCACCTGCTTTAGTGTTCACACCAGTCACGATGTTTGCATGCCAGAATTCCAGTTACATAGTCAAGCCTTGAGCATAGCGACCCAACATCTGTGGCTGCATCGAGCTGCATGTGTCCGCGGCTCTCTGGGGCTCGTGTGACTCTGTTTTTAAAAAGCGCTCTCTGTATTAGTCGATCAGGCGCAGACCAGCCACAGTTTTGTTATTCTATTTTTAGACTTCTTTTCATCAATCATGAATAGAGATGATGTATAATATATGATGAATGCAGGGGAGTCAGTCCCAAATGCATTTTTAATGAGAGAAAAGCGTGTTGATGAAAATAGTGCAAGAGCTGCACGGACTACAGGAGGATTCTCGCAAAGACACAAACATGTCGTGACCGGTGGAAACATCACTAAATGTTAACGGGGCCGGGCGGGTGACCGTGTTCGGTGTGTTGTGCAGATCGACCAGCTGAAGCAGGAGTTGTCGAAGAAGGAGTCGGAGCTGCTGGCTCTGCAGACAAAGCTAGAAACTCTCAACAACCAGAACTCAGACTGCAAACAGCATATCGAGGTGCTCAAAGAGTCGCTCACTGCCAAGGAGCAACGCGCTGCCATCCTGCAAACAGAGGTAATGAAGAACCCTCAGCTTGTTTGCGCACATACAGTATATCAACCTCACAACACGCTGCCTCACAAACAGTTTTCGTCCTCCTTCGCCAAACTGAGCAAATAATTGGCCTGTCCTGGGACCGAGGCTTATTACTGCAGATCAGATCAGCACTTTGTTTACGTTGGGGACTTTGTATTAAGTGAACTGTGTTTCAGGTCACCACCGAAGAAAAGTTGTTGCACAGTGTACTGTCACAGCACGCAAAACCGTCAAAAAGCTGCGCTAATGTATAAACAGCTGTGACAGTGTTACTGTAATGAACACACTAAAGATGGCCACCTCAGTGCTGCTCAGATTTTCTGCAGTTGCATGAGGATTAAGTTAAGATAACTTAAAAGCACCCTGAATAATGATGTTTTCCCTGCAGATTTTTTAAAAAAATAAGAGAATCCCCTTTTGGAATAACCAGACAAGCTCTTTTATTGTAAGCAGACTAACTTTGTGGTGTTTTCGGTTCAGGTGGATGCTTTACGTCTGCGTCTGGAAGAGAAGGAGTCCTTCCTGAACAAGAAAACCAAGCAGCTGCAGGACCTGACGGAGGAGAAGGGTACTCTCGCCGGAGAAATCAGGGACATGAAGGACATGTTGGAGGTCAAAGAAAGGAAGATTAATGTCCTGCAGAAGAAGGTGAGGATCAGACGTGAAGGAAACCCTCACCGTTTAGACAAAAACAAATCACTCCCTCACTTCTTCTTATGCTATTTATTGACTAGCTGTGGTGTGACAGTTTACGTAATTTTTACTCCAGATTTCAAATGAACAGTGGCTGTCAGACTGTCCTGGACTAAACCAGTCACACCGTGAAAACACAAAGCAGAGTGGTTACTGTGTCCATTAAGAGTGAGAGAGTTTCCTGCTCTCAGGGGGAAAGTGTCCATAGAAAGACAAGCAGGAAGATATTTCTGCCTCACTGGCTCTAGTGTGTGTATGTGCTATAAATACTCAGCGAGTGTTACTCCCTCCCTCACCCTGACCTGCTCACCCATTCTCTTTGTTTTTTTTTTCTTCACTCTTGTTCAGTCACACCTTCTCCCTCTCATCCATCCACTTTAATCTGTTTGTCGTCATCTCTCGTGAGTTCTTTGTTTTTCTCCCGATGTGATGCTCGTTCCGTCATTAACAGCAGATTAGATGAGTGCACATGCTTTACTGTTCTGTGCTGTATTTAAAGCCCAATGTCCATTTGCTGACAAACAGCAGTTTAATATATATATGCTGCTCTACACTTGGTTCTGCTTCTCAGAACTCTTCTTCAACGCCTGACAGTTTTTGATGCATTTCTTCCTTAAATGCTTTGTTGCAAAGCCCCAGCACATTCCAGACTGCAAACACAGCGGCGTCTGTAGACGGTGTTAATCTTCAAAGACTTCTGTAATCACCGAGTCCAACTATTGCACCAACTTTAAACGCTGCTTTGGTTTTGAGATCACGTTTTTTACCTCTCTGCTGCTTTTTCCTCCCTCCGTCCACATCTTCGCTGAGTCAGATCGAGAACCTGCAGGAGCAGCTGCGGGACAAAGACAAGCAGCTGGGAAACCTGAAGGACAGAGTCAAGTCTCTGCAGACCGACTCCAGTAACACAGACACTGCCCTGGCCACCCTGGAGGAGGCGCTGTCAGAGAAGGTAGAGTACAGCAGCCCAGCATCAGGTCGGGATGTGATGGGCCGTCACTCGACAAAATAACTTCTGCTCGGGGCGCCGCTAGAGCTCACCTGGTTGAGCTGGTATCCCATGTATAGGGGCTGTAGTCCCTGACAAAGCGGTCATGGGTTCGAGTCCCGCTCATGACCCTTTGCTGCAGGTTCTTCTCCTCCTACTTTACAGTCTCTCTCTCTTTCTGTCCTATCTAATAAAAAAGGCCAAAAAATATCTTTAAAAAAATAATAATTTCTGCTCTTTGGGGCGTCATTTGCAGGCATCAAACTGCTAAAAGTGCTTTTTTTAAGATGAAAAGTTAAATCCTTAAATCATAAAACTGCACATTGTACACTTTTAGCAATTTTAGAGCTGCTAGTAGGTGGTACCTTTAGAACAGACTCCAGATCGGTTCACCTCTGGTTCTAGTCTTTATGCAAAGGAAAGTCAGCTGGTGGTTGCTTCATACGTAGTGTACGGACATGTGAGCAGCAAAAACTTTCTCATCTCTCTCTTAGCAAACATGTTCCTGACAACCTTTCCTGCACTGTTGCTCACAACCAGCAACAACAGCCTTCTGTCAAAGCTTTAGGTTTATAAATGGATATAAATGTAGGAGAAGTTCAGAAGTCTCTTTCACTGGTTTAAAGTAGGTCCTCCTGCAGAAGACTGCAGCACAGAACCAGCTGTGAGCGCACACCTACCAAAGACCTGGAGTGATTGTTCAAAATATCGGTCGTGATGAATAATGCATGAGCTGAAGCAGTATGTATAATTCAGGAAAGGGTAGGTTTAATCTGCTCGGTGCTTTTGATCTGATTATTATTTTCCTTCTCCGGTGCAGTTTCCTTTATGTCCAATCAGACAGTGTTTGATTATTTCATCCCTGTTTAATAATAAGAATTTTACAAAAAAAACCTAACAGCAAAATTCCAATATGGTGCACCTTGTTGTGAGGTTTGGCATCTTCGTTTATTTTGCATTTTTAGCTAAATCTAATATTTTAATCATGTTATTATGATTATATCCAGGATCTTTTTATATTAGTCTGTTAATTTCACTTTAATAGCTACTGGAGATATGAAGAATTCCACAAATGACATTAACGTGTGCTTTCAAGGCTTTTTAAAGAATGAACATGCGTGTTATTAATCATGTGATCACCTGAGGGCTGCACCTTTTCACCCCTTTTCAGCAACTTAATGAAAGTCTAAAACGTTTCCAGGATGAATCTTTCAGTTTTCTGCACGAGTCACTGCAAAGCTGGGTCATTTCGCCGAGACTGTATAGCTCCTGGTTTCAGTCCCAAATGGGCCATTTCAGTGTCTGTAGCTTTAAATGCAGCTGTTGCTGTTCGAGCTCCCTTCAGGAAGAAAACTCTCTCTGTGTGTCTGTGATCAACTAAGCTGACTGCACGGCAATCAATGTGTACGAGACCAGGACTCGCTATCGCTACTGACGCTCCTCCTGAGCGATCGTTCTACATAGAATTATTAAATTCAGATCACAAGCAATATTTTCAACTCATGTGTTTGACATTGCATTTTTAGAATCTGTATTTTTTTTTAGTGGTGCAGAGAAGCAGCTTAAAAACAACTGTTGGTCAACGTGTAGTCTTCACACTTCTTGCCTTGTCTGACAACAGAAACATGTGAATGAAAGAAGCTTCATTAGGAATTCAAAATGCAGCGTCTGTGAGCACAGAGAGCAGGAGAGAAGTAAACACAAGTAAAGTGCTGAGTTCAGGTGGCACCAGTGATCCAAAGTCCATGTTTATTGGTCCACATTGGTGTTCTGATTTAGCTTTGCATTCCCACAGAGCTCACAGACCTGTGGCCATACGATCGATTAGCAAAACTGTGCTCACACTAAGAAGAGCAAATGCAGGAGTAAACATGTTCACAGCTTTAGAAAACATACAAAACACAGTAGAACATACGCTCACCATATGGGACCTTTAAAGTTTACTTTTTCTCCCCAATGTTTAGTCTTTTGATCTATACGGACTCTAATGATTCACTTTTAATTCTGCCAGGAGAGGATTATAGAGCGTTTAAAGGACCAAAGGGAGCGAGAAGACAGAGAACGTCTGGAGGAGGTGGAGTCGTACAAGAAGGAGAACAAGGATCTGAAGGAGAAGGTCAACAGCCTGCAGATAGAGTTAACAGACAAAGAGGTCAGTGAGCGGGTGTAGGGGTGTGTCCATATGACTGTACACATGCCGTGCCTTTATGTTTGTCTACTCTGCTGAGCATGCACCGCACCTCTTTGTATGTACTGTACAGCATATATTGGAGCTCTCTCTCCCTCAGCAGGCCTTTATGTGACATTTAAGCATTCGCCTCTGGCACTGTGGCCTAGTTACACCTGCTAACTCTGTGCTCGCTCGCCCGGTTTCAACTTGTGCTAACTGTCTGTGCTGGCTCTCCACCTGCAGTCCAGTCTCATTGATCTGAAAGAACATGCATCATCCTTGGCATCCTCTGGCCTCAAGAAGGATTCAAAGCTCAAGTCACTGGAGATTGCCATCGAGCAGAAAAAAGAGGAATGTAGTAAGTTGGAGACGCAGTTGCAGAAGGTAGGTGTGCGTCTCTCAGTGTAGGATCAATACTGTGTAATGTGCAGTTTTGATTTGTAAAAACAAGTGCTTAATCATTTTAAACCCAGATCTATTGTGTTTTATATATTTAGGCGCACAGTTGATATTAGAGTCAGATCAGAGCACTCAGTCAGCTGAAGCACTCACGAGCTTTTGACACACGATTTATTTAAAAGTACTCGAGTTTCACAGTCATCCCTCATTTTTGTTTTACCGTCTGAAAGATGAGTCCTAATTTGAGCAAATAAAACCCTCCACATTGCAGAAAATAGTGATCACACAGACTGACTGCATAAAGTCTACATCTAAACAACTTCTACAGCAACTTCGCCTGATGGAAAGCTCGAGAGCAGCAACTACCTCGTTGCCATATTGTGTTGCTGTCAGTGTTAGTTTCCACCGTAAAGGATAAACTCTGGTTACTGTGGTGCTGAGCAGGATTCGAAAACAAACGAGGATTTTGCACGGAGGATTTTTGTGTAAAAACTGAATGGAGACTGTGGAGATGTTCCTCGTTAATTGCACTGAACTGTAGATGAGAAGCAGCGTGTCCACTGTGAGGAAAAGAACCAGTGTGAGTCCAGGGACAACTTGAATGGTGACGATTAGGAAGTGACAGACTTTAGTAAAAAATGGAGCTATTTATTTTCATTCTTATGCTAAAAACGTTTGGTTAAATACCGGTTTAGTGCTCATATATTCCTTCTGTTCAGGCTTTACAGAACAGAGCAAACTCTCTGCCATTCGATCGAGACAGCGTTAATATAAAATCCTTTATCGAGCTAATTCTGTGTTTGAATAAAGTTCTGGAGTCGCCCTGTGAACCGGCCCCACATGAAGCCCATCACGCTTTCTGTGCTGTAGCAGGCTGCCATGCTTTGTCAGTGTGCTGCAAGCAAGCGGCGGACAGTCCATGAAATAAACCCGTCCGCCTTCTCCACAGATCATCGCTGTACCTGTTCCTCAGCGTTCTGTCTGTCGTGCCACCGTTGAACCAACACGTGCTGTGCTCAGACTCAAGTGTCAAACATGTATTGTAACGTGTCTGATCCTGCTGTTCTCTCCTCTGGCTCAAAATGAATCCTAACATTTGCTCTCCCGGGACCTCCCCCTTCCCCTTCCCCTCCATCCCTTCCCCGTGTCCCCCTTCCCCTCAAACTCCTCCGTTTTGCAATGTAGCAAGCTGAGCAGCTATTCAGTCACATGAACAATCCTGTAAGTCCCTCTCCGGAGCTCTCTGAGGCACATATTGAAAGCATGAGGACACTGATAGCCGCTTTTGAAACATGCTTAGATGGTGATCGTGCCGACTCCCAGCACAGGTTCTGCTTCCACCCACCCAGATGCATGTCGCTCATTGCACTGTACTGATATAACGAGCTTCCTACTGCACTCAGAGTCCTGTGCACTGTGCTCATTCTGTAACTGTGTGTGACACGTGGTGACACTGGTGTTGCATATCCAGTACCGAAGGTTTGTGTTGTCAGTAGGAATTTGCTCTATTTGACGCTCTATCGCCACGTTATTGGGTACCTGGCTAAAGCTAGTGCAGCAGTCTGATGCTACAGTCCTGCAATGCATTCTGTTTTCCTGAATGTTAAGATGTCTTAGGTGGTATTCATTCAACATTACAACAGCATCACGATCATTTTGAAAGACGTAGTGGTACTGAATTAGATAAGGCTCTCACAATCATAATAATATAAATAATTGTAGTGGTGATATTAAGAATAATATATGAACTAACTATTTACGTTGCGGTTTTGACAGACAATGTACAAGCAGGAGTCAACATAACATCAAAACAACATAAACACACGCCCAAAAATGCTAAATGTCACCATGAAAGTAAAACGATTAAAGCAATAAAATGTTTATAGTGAAGTCACATTTTAGACAGAAAAAGATGTTTTCCAGGAGAGCAACACGATTACAAAATAACAGGTTTAAATATTGAGATCAAGACCCTATAATGTTTTATAAAATACATAATCGCGAGAGTAAAATTAATATTAAGGTTGGGATATTATTAATTATGTAAATTTACCTGAGTTAAAACCTACAATATCATATACTCTAACAAGTTACCTCATTAATTTAAATTATTATTTAGGATTAAACCCTTAAAAAAATACACACAGAAAACCAAACAAATCCAAACATTCCCTTTCAGCAGCATAGAGGAGGAGAGGATTAAACCTCCAGCAGAAACCAGCGGACGCAACAAGTGAAGCCCTCAAAACGACGTTTTTTATGTTTTATGTTATTATTGTGTTTATTTTAAGCTAAAACCAAAGTGGGACTTGTTGCACGACTGTTGTATCGGGCTGCATCAGCTTTAGCTGGACGGACCCGTCAGGTTTTTTTGTTTTTTTTAAAATTCCTGTCGTTGCCTGTAGCTGCGATTAGTTTATCTACAGGGTGTTTTTCTTAATTTTCCACTACAGCAAAAGTTCTGCACACTAATGTTGAATAGAAAAAAAGCTGGTAAAATAAATAAGAGTATGAGTGTGGTGATAGTGTTTAGACACTGGACCTTCACACTGATGACAGTGATCTAAAACACAGCACAGTTCAAGATTATAGTTCCTGAGTTCCTGTCAAACATCAGCCTCTTCACAAAGATGGCTCAGAAGCTTTACGTAGTGGAAGTCGCTGGACGTCACCTGCTTTGCACATCCCTTACTTCCTGTATTATATCTTGTGACACCCACAACCCCAGAATAAAAACCAGCAGAGGCATTTGCAAACTGTGAGAACGATTTTTTCCAAAATATATTTTTGATGCTGAGTTATGTTTGATGATCAGCGACAAATTCTTTACGTTTATTTTTAGCCTCTTAAGATGCCACTACCCACAATCCAAATTAAGCTTTAAATTGTGGAGCTCGGTCACATCGTGAGGACAAAATAGATCAACGTGAAAACTGCTTTTCAGCAATTTCTCATCCATTATAAAGCTGAACGCAGTAAACAAACTAACACAGAGTCACTCCAACAAGTCAGATTACAGACTGAAGAAGAGTGTCAGTAAAAGTTAAAACTATTGGAATAATTTAACATCTAAAAATTGTGACAGTTACAGCAAAATAGTGACATTTTTAGCTGTTTTAAATACAGTAAAGCCCTGTGTTGTTTTTAGCCACACATCGTAAGAGATGTCATTACTATTTGTACAGATTTTTACATGTGGACAATATGTACAGTTTTGGCCAGTGTTGTTTTTTTTTTTTTTCTTTTATTGACAGTCAACATGCCAATTCATACTTGTTTTGAATTGATAGATATAAAAATAAAAACAAAACAGGAAAACAAAACCCAAAAAAGTGGAATTTTCACTCAAAGATTTTAAAATAACAAATTTTTTATTTTAAAAAATACTGGTTTTTGATGTGAACATTATTTATAGGTTTGCCTGTTTTTACCCCTCATTTATTATGTAAATGAATGTTTTTGTTCTAGGAAGTCATTATCTGTAATTTAAGACACAGGAAAACATTGTAAAATAACACAACACTGGCATAAAAATTTAAGTTAAAAACAGTTAAACAACCTTTTTTGCAAAGCTCGTGGCCGTATAATGCAATAAAGCTCTTTACTCCCTTTTTTTATTCCACTTCTTCAGTGATTAGTGAGTCTGAAATGAGTATATTTTAGTATCAAATCGTACAGAATGATCTCCTACATGCTAACTGTTAACACTGTTCCTCATGCTTAAAATATGAAACTTGATGCAGATCTACTTGGTCGCTCTCGCTTCTCTTCCTCCATCCTTTTGACTGACAATTGCAAAACAAACGTGTGCAGTTTCATTGGGTTTGCATGACTTGGTCGACCTTGTTGCATGTCGTCAGTGTCCGTGTTGCCACGCTTCTCTTTCGTCTCGATGTGGTGCGGTTAGCTGAGGTATCAGCCGTGGTTGGAGATCACTGCAGTGTTTTGGTGGATGGCTCTGTACACCTTTTGCGACATGTGTTGACATGTGTGGCTGTGTTTTGTCTCGAGGGTGATGTGTACCGCTGTAATGTATTTCGTGGAGCGTTTATGATGACGAGATCCCTGCTTTCGATGGTGTGTGACAACCAGTGAGACAGAAGCATGATTTAGCATCTAGCTCCCACTGATTTGTGACTGTTTTTCCTTATTAAAGTGCTGTGCAGACACCAGACTCACACACACACACACACAGTCCTGTATTCTGCATACTCACCAAGTGTGCAAAGTGACTGGGAGTCTCAGAGGGCCCTTTAAATAGAGCTAAATAATAGCTCTGTTAAAGCTAATGAGCCCGCACCAGTAATGATGCTTTCGTCCACAACATTTTACTCTGTTTTCTTCATTCAGAAAGACATACAGAGAGCAAGGGAGCTATATGATATAGGCCACTGATGGGCTGCAGTGTACTGGATGTATCTCTGTTTCATGGCCAGTAAAACACTCTGAGCTGCACTGTGTGTCTGCGTTGACGCTGCGATCTTAACTGAGTGCGTCGTCGGGTGTGTGTGTGCGTGTTCGTCTTTCTTTGGGGGTGTCCATGCAGAAGGCCCACGAGGTGGAGCAGCAGTCGGGCCAGAGGGGGAAAACGGAGTACGTGGACCGAGTGAAGCTGCTGGAAAAGGAGATGAACTACTACAAGGACGAAGCCGGCAAGTCTCAGGCGGAGGTGGAGAGACTCCTCGACATCCTGCGAGAGGTGGAGACCGAGAAGAATGACAAGGACAAGAAGATCGCTGAGCTGGAAAGGTAATTATTCTGACTATTTAGAGAATTTAGTTAAAGCATTTGAAGGCTGGTTAAAATGCAGTTTAGCCTGTACTGATTTGTCTCACAGTGTATATTATTCACTCTTGCTGTAGGTACATATTTGCATATCTGTGGACTAAATCAATGTGCATTTGTCTGAAGCAGCTCACAATAACTGCATTCTCTGTTTTTTGTTGGGTTCTGCATATATGCAACGTCTCCTCTCAGCTCTGGACCAAAAAGATATGATAACACACATAAAGTATAAATGAGAAGAGAGAAAGCAAAACTTTACCTAAGCAACATCTACTAAGGGTTAGTTCACACGTCAGATTGGAACAGAAGCAAAAGCAGGTTCACGATTACAAAGACTAATAAAGCACAGGGAGCAGGCGAGGCTAAGAAGAAACAACGAGATCTAATCAGGAGAAAAGCAGAATGCTGGAGAGCCAAAGCACTATGCACACAGATAATCTGGCTCGTATCAGGAATCAGGCGATCAGACGGACGTGGAGGATCAGATGATGGAGGAGGTGGGAGTGGCTGGTCTGACGTGAACAGAGGTCACTCAACGTCTCGTACCATGACGTGGCCATGCACTCAGTTTTGCACAACTTTAGGCCTTAATACAATTTAAACTAGTGATTTATAGTTAAAAAATCCCCCTGTGCACTTTTTCTGAAAGTGGAAGTTGGTTATAGGGACCATAACTGTTTTCTGTAACAGTCTGTAAACGGGGTTTTTTCTGCCATGAACTTGGACATTTTTACATTTGGGCTCTTTGGGATTGACTCACTCTCAAGTGGCCGTTTGAGGAACTGCAGCTGTTGTTGGTATTTCAACGCTGGCTTTATTTTTCGGACTCGCAGGTTGCTGCATGGTAGCTGCAGTGTGTTTTTTTCTGCGAGACTTTTGAGATATCAGTCTCAGTTTTCCGCCTTTAAGTTCTGTGAGCGTCACAAACAAAACCCCCTTCAGACAAAATTGATTATTTAGTAATATGGGTGAACTAGCCCTCCAATCCTAAGCAATACGTTACGTTCCTGTTTGTGCCGAGTGGCTCCGAGCTGGTTATTCTTGTCCCTGATGGATGTCTTTGTGGCTTTAAAGCGCGGGGATCTTCATATTTTCAGTGAACTTCCATCGGCCTCTGTGTACACGTTCTGTCATTTTCACATCAGGTACAAGTTTGACGTCATGAGGGTGTCGGCACACCGTTCTGCCTCAGATCAGACGCACTCAGACGTACATCTTTCAGCGGACAGTAGTCGCACTTGCTGCTGAGATTCACCAGAAGTTTCTCTGTACAACTCTCGATGTCGTGTTGCTCAGTCACCCCCTCATAAAAGAGGTCAAACTAATCTCAGTTAATGGAGCACATAAATAAAGCGGGTGGCCTCTTCAGCTCTTGGCTCGCTGCTTAATGCGTTACGAGTCTCCATCCTGGAAGCAGCTCTGCATTTTGGTTTGGCGGATGGAGGACATCGTTTACCTGGAAAGGATTCAAACTGACTTTAAGACCGGTTGGACCGCATGAGAACCAGACGAGCACCGTCTGCCGGTGACAGCCCTGCTCCCCGGTCACTCACCCACCACGTAGTGTTAAAGCCAGTTATATGTTCCCCTCCCAGCTAGTGATAGGAGGCCACTTTGGTGAGTGTCATGCAAATTTGTTAGTGGTGTTTGATTAACTGAGTGTTCTTGTCCTTTTTTTTTTTTTTTTTGCCATCTTTACCCACTTCTTCCCTTTTCTATCTTCTGTTTCTCGCCCACCGGTCCCTGTCTTTACCCTCTGCCATTGATCTCTTTCAACCTCGGCCCTTTTTTTTCCCCCCTATCTGATTTTTCTTCTCCATGTCCTTTGCCACTCTTTCTCCGTTGTGCCCCCCTCCGACACCTCCAGCCCCCCACCCTCTGCCCCTCGCCCCACCCCTCGTCCCGGTGGCAGAGCTCCCCCTGACCCGCTCCCTTCTGTGTCCGCTGCTCCCCAGCAGATAGGGGGCATGGTGTGGGATTTCCTGGGAAAGTGAGTGCTCTGCCCTGGCACTTCAGCTCGGCTGCGTGGTTTAAGTCTGCGACTGCGACTGCTGCAACTGCATCTGGTTTCACCCGTGTGCCTGGGTCTGCCTGCTGTCTGAAGGATTCACAGATCTTTGTATCAGCGTGACGGACTTTGCTTTCAGTCGGCGGTGTTGCTACTGCACTCGTGATACAAAGATCCCTGGATTCGTGTCCGCTTTTTGTTTTAGCACGTGTTTGCTTTTGTGGTTAACTGTTGATGCTTGTTGACCAGCCTGTGTGTGTGTGTGTGAGTGTGTGTGAGAGTGAGAGCTTGTGCTGCATGCTTATTCTCATCTATCTGTGATGACACAATGAGGAAATATCAACAAAGATTTTGCCGTATGACAAATCACTTTCCAAATCAGCAAATTGAAAGCAGACTGCAAAAATATGTCAAAAAAAATTCTGCATGAAGTTCAAATCCTTAAAGTTTAAGGTTTGTACTTCAACACATGCAACACATGAGGTCATACTGTTTGAAATATATGTCCAGGCAGACATATATTCTGTGGTGTTCCTGTGATTCTTGTGTTGTGGCCTGTTTCTGTTTCGTGATGCACGGTGAAGTCACACAGTCGATTCAGTCACACCAAGGATTCGGCAAATGAGCAACCAAATTTCACAATTTACGCCCTTATCAGACATTTCACTTGTATATACTGTACATGCTGATAATACAGACAATACTAGAGTATTTCCTGTATTTCTAGCAGCTGGTTTTACGTAGAACTTGGTGTGATTTTCCCAACTGCCCTCGCTTCTTCTTTTTTTTTTTCCATTTTATTTGAGGTTGCTGTACCTTTGTGTGTCCTTTGTTGAAATGGCTTGCACACTGATACACGCACACACACACACACACACACACACACACATAATATGTTTGTCTTTTTGTGGTGTTTGGCTGTTTGTAGTAGCTTATTGTAGGAAGTGTCTGTCCTTAGAGCTGAGGCCTCCTCCTGCCATGAGCACGCTTCCCCTTCTCATTCCAGCCACCCATCTGCCCGCCTCACCCTGGTCACCCTCTCTAACTCACCTCTGCACCTTCAGATCCTCCTTTTTGTCCCAGTAACATCACCTGACAGCTCCCGTCTTCTCAAGTGGTCTTCCCCAGTGCCCACCTTCCCGCTCTCCCGCCCTCCCGACCTGCCCCACCTGCCCTGCCTAGCTTGCTCTACCAGACACTAAGGGAAATGATCAGCCTAGTGGCCTGCATGAATAGAGCTGCTGTGCTCCAGGTCTACACGCGCTCAGTGTGAGGTGCTGTAGTAGGTAGGGTCTGGACTGAACTCTCGGTCCTGAAGTGTGTCAGTTCAGTCGGGTCTCCTCTGTCTGAACAACCCTGCATCCATAACTGACTCTCTCACCGACTCACTCCTTCTTGCCCACTCGATCAAACCACTGTTGGCTTCCCCTCCTTTTGCTCGGCACTCAGACCTTGTCCTCTTCCCCTCTTCTTCTGTTTTTTTTTTTGCCCGGCTAATTTTTGCCTGTCTGACTGCATGTCTGCCTCTCCCAGGCTTGGCAGCAGATGCACATGGTTCCATGTTGTAGAGAAGGTGCATCCTGCATTAGCTGTGTCAGAGGACTGTCACAGGCGCGTTTATAACCTCCCATGTTGTTTGACAATGAACACAGCGTGATCTTCTCTGGGTTCACTGTATTGTTTTCTTCTTGTTGTTTCTTTCTGTTCTGGTGCTAATGTCTCGTTTTTTTATTTACTTTTTCCTGTGTGTGCTCTTGTCTCCTGCTTCCAATGTCTTCTTCCACTTGTCCCATCATCCCCTTCTCTTCTACCTTTTCCTCTCCCCCGTCTGCAGTCTAGCTCCCAGGTAAGTACTGACCCTGCTCCCATGGCACCCCCATCTCTACCTGTGTCCGTCCTAACTCTGGTGCTTATACCTGTGAGTTGTAGCAGCAATCTCATGTTAACATGAAGCTATCAGTCCATCCGTGATGCTCATGACTTGTTGCTGTTCTGGTGATCCCATGACTGGTACTATTTTGAAACAAGACTCATTCAAAATGCACTTGACATGATTGCCCTTTACGGTGCTGTGGCTTGTTTGTATTTCATGTCTTTGTTGTGGTTTATGGGTCCGTAGCAAACCCAACTCACATGTCTACTTACTTGTCATATAACTATATATCCTCCTGAATGTATTTGCATTGGACTAATTGCACAATAACTACAGAACTCACTGCCTTTAGTCATTGGAGATCCTAACATCTTGTGCATTTTACAGACAAGGAGGCAAAGATCAGACTAAGAAGGGTCCAAACATCAAATTGGGACCACAAGGGGACAAGAAAGGCTTAGGACAGGACCCTCGTAAGGACGGCTCCCTCGACGGTGGTCACCACGTGAAGGTGAGGATTTTACTCCTGAGGAATATTTACTACACACGGCTCAGGAAGTGTGTGTCTACAACGTGTCTTTTGTGTGCGCCCACGTAATCCTGTCAGTTGGAGGAGCTGATGAACACGCTGGAAAGGACGAGGCAGGAGCTGGATGCCACCAAGCAGCGTCTGTCCTCCACACAGCAGTCTCTGCAGGAGAGGGACACCCACCTCACCAACATGAGACAAGAGCGCAGGAAACAGCTGGAGGAGATCCTAGACATGAAGTAAGTGTTGTTGTGCGATGGGATTCTTTTAATGAAATGGATTCATTGCTAGTCTGAGAATGTAATCCAGCGTCTCCTTGTTCTACCCACAAAAACAACACCCTGAACAGATCTGAGCTGACAACTAGGGCGTGCGTCATTTCAAACCAAAACGCGTGGTTTAAATTCTCAGAGGGTAGTTTTACAGTTTCGCTCTGAGAGACATTTTGAGAAATACTTTATTGTGACAATCTGAAGTCTTGTCCTTACGTTGAGGTTGCCAGGCAACCAGATAGGACCCCAGAAAGTGGCTGCACCCTGCCAAGAAATAGATGTGCACATAAACATAACCATTATGCTGTTTTTACACTTTAAACGGATTAGACAAAGTATTTGTATTTCCCCGTTTTGAGACTTTATTCTGAGCTAACCCGCTGCTGTGTATAAATAGTGAGAGTGGCGTCAATTTTCTCATGTAACGCTCAGCAAGAAGGCAAATAAGCATATTTCTTAAAAGGTTCTTAGAGCGAGACGTGTAGTCTGAGTTGTCCTTTTGAAAAGAACAATCTGATTTCGGAGTGACTTTTTGCACGTCACGGCTCATCATCTGGCTCCTTTAATTGGATTTTGGCCTTAAGTAGTTCTAAATGCACACAGACAGTATGAAATATAAATAGAACTGATTTAAACAGTTTTTTTTTTTAGTTAAAACTGTCCTGAATTGGTTTCACTTTGTTTTTTCTTTTTGTGCTGATGCTATAATGTTGTTTTTTTCCAGACAACAAGCTCTGCTGGCAGTCATCAGTGAGAAAGATGCTAATATTGCACTGCTGGAACTGTCTGCCTCCAATAAAAAGAAGACCCAGGAGGAGGTGCTAGCCCTCAAGAGGGAGCGCGACAAACTGATGCTGCAGCTCAAACAACACGTTAGTACTGCAGCACCGTGTCAAGGAAACTTCCCTCTGCACTGTCGCTGGTTGCCAGGCAATGTTAATCAAAATGAAAAGTACAGCTGCACAAGGCGGCGAGCCACTTTTTGCATTTCATCTGCAGGGTTGTCGAGGACACGCATGGCCGCTCTGCAAGTTCCGTTTTGGCACTTTTCCCGAATGTTACGACTTGCTTTGCTGTATGAGTCAGCGTTGTTTTTGCGTTGTTTGGGAAAACATAAGTCTTAAATTATCCCAGTCAGGGGCTGCAAGGTGGATCGGTGGTTAGCACTGTTGCCTCGCAGTTAGAAGGCTGCCGGTTCGCGTCCCGGTGAGGACACCCAGGATCTTTCTGCGTGTTCTCCCCATGCAGCGTGGGTTCTCTCCGGGTTCTCCGGCTTCCTCCCACAGTCCAGAAACATGCTGAGGTTAATTGGTGATTGTAAATTGTCCGTAGGTGTGAATGTGAGTGTGCTTGGTTGTCTGTCTCTAAGTGTAGCCCTGTGATAGACTGGTTACCTGTCCAGGTGAACCTGCCTCCAGATCCATTCAATGTAAAGGCATTTGACTGTAATATTAAAGGCATGTTGAGCATGTCAGAAGCTGAGAAGTTAAGTCTCTCAGCAGTCCAACTCTCAAGTCTGCAGCTCTGGTCCGAGTTTCACTCCCCAAGTTCTGGCTACAGCAATCTGGCCTCTTGGTGTCTCTGTAAGTCGTCTTATGTTGCTGGCACACACTGCTAATTAATATTTAACATGATATAAGCAAAAGGTAATCCAATGCGCTTTTTCAAAAATTACAGCATGTCTCTCCACAATAGGCTCGCTGTTCAGTGTGGGCACTGAAAAACAGCCCTGGTTTGGTAAAATGGAAACAAAACAGTGTCTCAGACCGAACCACAGAACCCTTATACAGCCTGTGCACATTCAGGTTTGTACAGAGGACAGGGGGAAAGAGAGCAACCGTAAAGCCACAGACTTTACCTTTAAGCACTGTAGATCCTTTCCCTTTCCAGACATGCTCTGCTCTTCATTAATCTGGTGGCGACAGAACATGTTGGCTTTTTGTCTGAATACTTAATCGAGCAACTTTTCAGTAAAAGACAGCAGCAGCCTTTCTAGGTCGGACTGAGCAACATCTCAGTATCACTTTCAACACGACACAAGTCTGATGCAGTCGCTTCATGCATTTACATATGAAACAACATCAGTGAGTTCACAAATTAGTTCTAATTATAAATTATCCCTGGCATGGAGACAGGATCAGGTTGAGTCTTGAGCTCCATCATAGCTGTCCGGATGTTTTTATTTTACTGCTAGTAAAGTTGTAGTTAGATTACCATCATATGTGGACAGTGTTAAGGAAACAAGACATAAACCAGGCTGGACACTTTGATTAGTTGCCATTAGTTTAGATTTATTCTTATGTATGTCTAGTCTCGTGTGAATGACAAACATCACGTGCGTACCACGGCTGTCTCCATCATTTTTGTGGGTGTGTTGGAATGAGGAACCTGAAGTCTGAATAAGTGGTTGCCATCAGTTTAATGCACCGAGGAAGCAGCATTGTTATGTATCCCGTGTCTGAAAGGGCCATAGATAACTCTGAGGTTACCAAATAGCAAAATACTAAAGTATACCAATATGTAAATGCAGGAAAACATTGACTACTGGAGAGGAACAGTGGTCATGATTAGAGCCGTAAGAAAACTGTATGACATTTTTGTTTACTTCATTGCCAAGAGTTGAAGACTGATATTGTTGTTGTGAATGTGCATATTTACTGTACATTACCAACCTGGTTTAGTTGAATAATTGATATGTGAAGAGAATCCAGGAAGTCTTCAGCTTGCCTTCAACTGTAAGCTGTCAATTTACGGACATAAGATGAACTTCATTGATCCGTTGCCAGGTATATTCATGTTACAGCAGCTGGATACAGATAAGGCAGGGATAAGAATTACTAAAGTACAAGTACGGCCATGACAGGTGAGGTTACATGTGAACACGTATGTTGCATGGAGCATAATGTACGCACAGTTTTTGCTGTTGCATTCAGAGCGTAAGTGGGGGAAAGACCAGTGTTAGACATGATGCTCTTACACATGAGGAGCTGTAAGACAACAGTGTCATACAATTTGGTTATATGTGAGCAAGCTTTGTTTACAATTAGCTGTAGAGAGAAAAACAGCGTTAAGTGATGCTGTGACACCGGAAGAGCTGTAAGGAGAAGAAAAAAACAGTGTTAGATGATGCTGTTTCAAAGTAGATGAGCTGTGTGGCGGGAAAAAAAACCTGTGATTAAGTGATTTATGTCTTAAATAAGCGACAGGATAAACAAACAGTGTTGACTAAAAACACACGATGCAGCTTGTTGCATCTGTAAGGCTGCCAAGAGAAAATACAGCGTTAAAATGTGAAGAGTTCATTTGCAAAAACAG